CTGTAAGCAGTCCTGTTCAGATGTTATCTTCTTCTTTATAGTGTGGCTTAAAGTCTTTATCTGTGATTTTTCACACTTAAATGTAGAAATCAAGTATATCCTCTGAAAATAACTCTGTGAGTCATGACTGTCTACAATGGGTGTAACACCCGAGTCCCACTGTCTGTGATGTTTTCAGAGTTTTCAGAGTCCTATCTTCACTTTGTTTACATCGCCAGGACGGCCGGCTGACTCCTCCCCTCGTGTATAAAAGTTGTTTAATTGAGGGACTAGAGAAAAGAAGAATAACATACTGTACTCACTGCTTAACTGTGTTTCTAGATCACGCTCATTTCAGGTAAATTTACATGCAGTGTGAAGATACCAGCATAATAAAGATCGCGAGCATTAGCATGCTAACACAACAATGTAAAGCCTTTAAATGTGTAATTAAAGATGTAAACCTAAATGTTTTTTATTCTGAATTAAAAATATTTGAAAGGTTTTGAACGTGGGATTTTCATATGGACGCTGCATTCATCCAATAAACAAACACAGGTCAATGATGTTTACAGGAAGGAGTCTCTTCTTCTGCTCCGGTCTCTGAAGGTCGTTCTCCTTCCTGCCCGATGGTAATGGTGGTGTGCAGTAGGAATGAGCAGGAAGGTGTTAACAGGGACCCGGACAATGACCTTCAGAGAGTGGAGCCGTGAGAATGGACTTCTGCTGAAGGAGATGGTTCTGGACTTTCACAGAAGCCCCCCCCCCCCCCCCCTTTAGCTAGTAAACATCTGAGGGGACGACATTCAGGGGCTGCAAACCTACAAGTATTTAAGAGGCAGAGACTCTTTTTCCTGAGGATGCTCAGATCGTGCAGTGAAATGTTAAATATGTTCTACCAGTCAGGGGAAGGGAGTGTCCTTTTTATGGCCTGTTGGGGGGGGGGGGGGGAGGGGGGGGCAACATGCTTTACAAGCTGGGAAAAAAGGCTGGCTCAGTTTTAGGCAGGAGTTTGGACTTGTTGAGGATTGAGGTGGAGAGACGTGTGTGAAGGAAAGGACAGGCTCTACTGGACAACATTATCCTCTCTACAGCATCACGGCAGGTCGGAGGAGCAGCCGCTCATGAGCTGTGGGTCAACATCACGGCCGACCTTTCTCCTACACTCTCTCACCTTATAAAAACTAGAAGACTAGAAGACTTGCTGATTCATGAAGCATCTTTTATTGCGTCTCTGTTAAGCACAGTCTTTTTCTGTTCCTGTTTGTTTAAAGTTTTAACTTCTATGGATGAATTATACGCCTGGATTTTTACAACGGGGATAAATAAAGTATCTCTCTATTCAATAAACACAATATCCCAGTTTCAAAACTATTTTACACCACTCAGCTTCAATGTATAATATGTTGAATTTTATTAGAATGTTTAACGCCCATGATTCCCCGCCAGCCTCGCCGTCATCTTTGTTCCTGTTTTGATTTTGAGAGTCCCCTGGTGGCCTAATTTACGTCCAGTACTGTGCGCTTAATTTACTCATGGTTTTTGCCTCGATTTAAGTTGTCAACATGAAACTGAATTCTTACAGTTTCTTTTCATCGCCAAGCAAAAGCGTTGTATCACTGATTGGAGCTCTGGACAACTCCCTATGTCAATACTGTCCATTTACAACTCTGTTTTTGCACATTTACATTTAATCTTTCATATTTAAGACTAGTAATGCTTAGTTAAATCCTGGTTGTATATATTCCCATTCTTAGTTTTTATATTTTTAGTGCTTATTTACTTTGTAGTTAATATTATATTATGTTTAGATTTGCTAACAGTGTTTGATAACCTGCTGCTGTAACGACACAACTTCCCAGTTTGGGATCAATAAAGTAATTCTATTCTATTCTATATAAATTGTTAAATGAATATGAGGTGAAACATTATAATCAGTAACACCTAAATATAAAGCTAAATTGTGCCACCTTTAATAGCATACTGTACTTTACAACACTGGTGGAAGGGGGGCGGGGCTAATGTTGGGGAAACCCCCTGCTAAAGTGCCCTCTTGAATGTAGCGTCCTCCACGGTGTGAAGTGAGAAATTAACTTAAGGTGAAGTGACTAAACTTTTTCACTACATGTCTGTATGACGACTTTCTGTGGGCATACAGCACGTGCCATTTCTAATATTTCCGCCCCTGGCCCTCAAACATCCCGAGTCCTCCAGCTTTAACAACATTCATTAAACAGAAAGCCTCGAGTTAAGGTTCAGTCTCACTAGTTCATTAACTCTTTAAACAGTTCGGGTTCAGGTCTTACCGCTGTCCTGTCGGTCTGAACCGTCTCAACAGACTCCGAGACCAGGAAGAGCAGCAGCGCGCGGCAGGTGAAGGTGAGCGCGAGCATCATTCCTGCCACAGCTGTCCAGATGAGCAGCGCGCGCGGAGCCAGTCTGCGGTTGATGATGATGATGATGAGGAGGAGGAAGAGGAGGAGGAAGAACAGTATAAGACGGAGTGAGGTCACGACCTTTGCGTCGGTTGGAGGGTTTTCTTTGCTCTGCTCATGTTTGAGGTTCAGTGGTCTCGAGCTGCTGCTCCAAATGAGACCAGCAGCGCGCGCAAAGGTCTGACTGAGAGGCACGAGACCCTCTGGTTTCCAAACGGTACTGCCCATTTCCGGTCCTCGTGCTTTAATAGTTCAGTATATCCATAACACTTTTGAAAGTTATTTAAGTAGAATAAACATGGCCTGAAATGTTTCCAATTTGTTAATAAATAATAAATAAATCTAAATAAAAGAATAATAATAAATACATAAATATAAATAACATAATAAATAATAAATACAAAAATATTAATACAAATTATAAATATAATAAATATTAAATAAAGTTTAGACTTTATTACATTACAAATAAATATTAAAGTTCTACTGGAATCCTCTGCTCTTGGTGTTTCTTTGGAGTAGTTATATTTCCTCTTACCTCCTTAAAATTGTGTAATCTAAATCAGCCAGTTAACAGGAATCTACTACAGTTTATTTAAATATATTTAATAGGGACACCAGTGGACTAGTGGTTAGTTCTCACGCCCCGTGTACAGAGGATGACATCCTCAAAGCGGGCGACCCCGAGTTCAAATTCAACCTGTGGCTTTTTCCTCCACGTCATTTCCCACTCTCTCTCTTTCTCTCTCTCTCTCTCTCTCAATGATTTCCAACTCTAACTGTTCTGTCTTTCCGATAAAGGCATAAAAGCCCCAAAAATAATTATTAAATATATGTCATAAAATATGTTAAACTGATATTTCTAACACCAGATGTTTAAGAAAGAAAGACATGGAGACAAGCAGAGGTATTTTGTAAGGAAACTTTTTATGTGTGCTTTGTGAAACTCACTTATCATTAGAGACAGAAGGCGTTTGCAGTTTCCAGTACAGCAGATAAGGTTTGATATTAAAGAGTACAAAAAAAAGAAAAATCACAATTCCAGAGTTCATTTCTCTCCAACCTCGCAGGGGAAAAAAAAGAGAAAGAAAAAAAAGAAACAAGCTTTTGGTCCGAGTCTTTTCTTCTCAGTTCCTTCCCTGTCTGTGCCTCCCTCCCTCCGTCTCCCCCTCCTCACCCTCTTAACAGCCAACACACACACACACACACTCCGGAGAAATCTGATATCCTCTGTTTAATTTACCAGGAGACGTCCTCACATTTGATGCCCGCAGCTTTTCCCCCACAACTCAGATATTGAACACGTTATGATTGCATAGTTTTTTTTTTTTTTTTACACAACAATTTTCCTTTTTTTGTGATATTTTTTATTTGCACATAATGGAATGTTTACATACAGACCCCCCTCCCACGATCGTTCCCCTCCCTCTTTTCCTCAGTAAATTTTCTTTCCCTTTTCTTCAGAGATAAATGAGGGAGGCAGAGGGGAGAGAAGGGGGGGGGAGGAAGGGAAGGGAGGGAGAGAGTGGGAGTGTGAGGTAGGGAGAAAGTCAAGAGACAGAGAAGGAGGGACAGGGCTGCAGAAACCCAACAGGCACGTTTTATTCCATCACACGGGGAGCTCTCCAAAGTGCGGCACTATGCAAACCCCTTTCAATCCAGGAAGTGCGAGACGCTTCATTCAGCCAATCAAATACATCTGTGACATTAATATACTTCTATCATGTGTGTGTGTTTTCTGGAATATAAAACTGGACTAACTTTGTTAAATCTCAACTACCATATTAATGTATAAGTTCTGTGTTTGAATAAGCACCTGATGCCAAACCCAGGAGGACAATATGGGTGGATAATTATACCCATCATGGAGAAGATACACTATCATCAACTTTCGTGCATTTTCATAATTTGGAAATGAAAAAAAAAATGTCTGGAAGCTCAAACCTATCCACTGTAGAAACTGCTCTGTGTGTGTCACCGTCATTGGCTTTACATTTTTGTTTTATTTTCTCATTTTATTATCTAATAAATGTCTCTACTTTGCTCTACTGGAAAGCCTGCGTTGATTATTTCCCAACAATTTGGACCGTGTTCGTGTCATTCTTCGCACTGAAAAAACAAAAGAAGTATGTACAGCGCTGAGCCCCGCCCCCCCCCCCCCCCCCCCCCCACCTGCACTGACCCCGCCCCGCCCCCGCCACACCACACCCGCCTGCCCCCGGAAAACAAACAAAAACAAACGAAAAAAGTCATAAACAAAAAGACAGGAGGAGGAAAAAGAGCTTGAGGTTAGACAGGTCACCTTATCCAGCAACATGGGGAATTATGGGTAAATATGTCATTTTTATCTCTGGTTGGTCAACTCCCCCCCCCGCCCCCCGCCCCGTCCCCGCAGCATATATCTCTCTAGGATCTAATACACAAACCTCGCCAGTCGCCACGTCAAACCCCACACTGCCCCGCCCCCGCACGCCCTGACCCCACCTGGCAAGAAGAAAAAATTATAATAAAATAAACAAAAATTAGCATAAGTATCAGATTAGCTTGTGCCCCTCCCCCCTCCCCCCCAGTCCTCCCCCCTGTTTGACCACCATGAAGGCAGACAGGGTGAAGCTAAGGACCCGCACCGTAGACGTCTGTCCCCCTCGTCCCCACAGCTGCCCCTCCCCCCCCGGAGACGGCGTTTATAGAAACTTTATGACAAATTGACCTCGATCCCTCTCGACCTGAAAACGACGTAACGGAGCTGAAAAACATCCCGCAGAGCCAAAAACCAAAACTACAGTCCAATCAACATCTCTGAATCCTTTTTCTGATGATTTCTAAACCGGCACACGCAGGGGCACCTCACAACCACTCAAATCCTTCCAAAAACCTTCCATTCCTGGCGTCTCCTCTGCGAACAGAAAGACCCCCCCCCCCCCACCCCCCCCCCCCATCTGTCCAGCCCTCCTCTTCCTCCTTTACAGGTCACTCTCTCCGTACAGGGCGGTGGAGAAGGACATGTAGTCGAGGGCTCCGGGGACAGCGTCGGGCCCGGTGTAGGGCGCCATGCGGGCGATGCAGTACTCCGCCTGGTCGGGGGGAAGCTCCCTCCTCAGCTCGTCGGCGGTGATGAAGGTCTGAAAAACACAAAGATAAAAGTACAATCAGTGAAGAACCACTTTTTTTATCCTGGCTCACCAGCAAACAGCTGAGGAGAAAAACATCCCCAATTTACCCTGAAGCATTAAAACATTAAAACACACAGTTTGAAGATACTCTTCTTTTCAATCAGGACCAAAAGGACGTCATTGGGGTTTAAAGTTTTATTCTAAATTCTATTTGGACACAGGGGGCTAAAACCGACTCTGAATTTTGCATTTGACAACCAATGCCGATTTGACTTTGTGTTACATTCTCCCGTTAATCGCCTAAATGAGGTTACTTTCTCAAGTTTTTAATAAGCTACTGACACTTACTACTTAGCACCAATACACCAAGTCAAATTCCTTGTATGTGTAAATGTACTTGGCAATAAAACCAGATTCTGATTCTTCGCTTGAAAGACCGGAAGAGTGTGAAAAAAGCTCCTGAATTAAACAGTTTGAGGTTAAAACTTTGTGTTACAGCCCCTCAGTCACCCGCTGGTTTCATTAGTCCTGGTAAGGAGGAGGCTGCTACACATTCAACTTCAACTTAAAACATTAAACAATAAATGAGAATGATGAAACTAGATTTAAAAAGTACTTCTATGCATTTGCATCCAGATTGATTTGTTTACAATGACACAGCTCCCAACTTAAATCTAAGTAATTAATTAATCCATAAAAAGAGAATGAAAATTCTTTATTTGACAGGAGACTAGAACAGGAATTACCGGGATAAGAGAGTGGGAAGGATTCAAACCCACAGCGACCGACTGAAAACAAACTTTTCATCCTGACATGAATACAGAATCACTGTGTGTATACACATTCAAACACACACTGACCTTATCAGCAGCCAGGATCTTGAAGGAGGCGATGACCTGGTCCGCGGTGTCCGTGTCGGTCGTTTCCCTCGACATGAAGTCAATAAAGGCCTGGAAGGTGACGGCGCCGCTGCCGTTGGGATCCACTATACCCATGATGCGAGCAAACTCGGAGTCGCCCTGACAACCAAGAAAACAACAGGTTAACCCGGGAGAGACACACACACACACACACACACACACACACACACACAGGCACAGACAGAGCATGACATACAAAGTGTTTTCAGTGTAAAACATCAGGACCTCCATGAGTCAGTGAACGGAGGTTAAAGTTGTGATAGTGGTCCCAATGTTTTTACATTTCAAACTGGGGCACATGCAAAACAAATACAAAACATGACCACTAACTAAAGTCAAAGAAACGGATTACAGCACAGAGGACAAACAGTCATGTAGTTTGGAGGGCTCATGTGAAAAAAAACTGCTTTTTCTTAAGTCAGTGAAGCAGAAGAGCAGCAAGAAAAAAGAAACACAGATGTGACAAAGACGAGCAGCACGAGGAACAAATAGAGGTCAGGTGTCTGCAGGTCCCAAGTCAGACTTTAGGACATTAAAACCCAAAGAAAGAGTAACTGGGGTTTATTTAAAAAGATAAACAGGAGGAGTGGGCGGGTTTATTAATTGTCAAAATGTGAAGAGAATGAACTAATGTGATCAAAGACTGGGAAACATTTTGGTTTGATTCCCAGCCTGATCATAAACGGGTCAGCTCTTAAACTCCGCCCGGGCAGATCAGTTTAGGTTTAACGTTACGCAGACTCATTTGAATCAGTATGTTCTCCTTGGACGTGCAGACACCCTGGACAGCGTCATGCCAGCAGCAGCAGTACCAGGCTGTTTCCTGTAGCAATGAGGAGAGCCCGGAAATCATCTGAGACCATCTGTCCTGATCGCTTCTGTGGGCCGCCACAGCAAAGACCCGAGGAGGAGGAGGAGAGGGGTGAGGAGTGAAGTGAAGGGTGGAGTCAGAGAGGGTTCATGAGAGGATGAAGGGGGCGGAGATAAGAGGAGTGAGACGTACAGATATAAACATGATGAAGAGAGAGAGAGAGAAGAGAGAGAGAGAGAGAGAGAGTGATGTTCAGGGA